GTAGATTTGGTGTATCTGGATTTTCAGAAAACATTTAACAAGTTGCGACATAAAAAGGCTTGTAAAAAAAGTTATTTCTATAGATGAGGTCGTTAAGTTAGCTAATTGGGTAGAAGAGAGCTGGATGGAAGAAAGCAAAGGGTTGTTACAAATGAAGTTCAGTCAAACTGGATTAATGTCACAAGTGGGATACTTCAAGGTTCAGTCTTAGGACCTTTGCTCTTTTTGATTTACATCAATGACATAGATGAAGGAATGGTCAATAAATTACTTAAATTTTCTGATGATATTCAGGTCTTGGGTGTTGCTAGCTGTGAAAAGGATGCTGCTGATTTACAAAAGGATTTAGATCATTTAGTGAGTTGGACTAATAAATTGCTGATGTGTTTTAATTTTAATAAATGCAAGATAATGCACGTGGGTTATCATAATTTGAATTGTAACTATAATTTGGATAGAAATAACCTTAACAGTGTTATGAAAGAAAGGGATCATGATGTAGTGGTTGATTAGTCTCTTAAGCCATCCAAGCAGTGTGCTGTTGCTAGTGGTATGGCAAATAGGATTTTAAGTTGTATCTACAGAAGTATTGAATACAAGTCTAAAGAGGTTATAATTTCATTGTATAGGTCACTGATTAGGCCACATTTGGAGTATTGTATTCAGTCTTGGGCTCCTTACCTTAGGAAGGACATTGAATTGTCTGAAAGGGTTCAGAGGAGGCACACTAGAATGGTGCCTGGGATGGAGGGATTGTCATACGAGGAGAAGTTAAGATAGCTGAAATTGTTTTCTCTTAAAGAAAGAATAGTCAGAAGGGATCTGATTGAGATGCTTATAATTGTTCAGGGAATTGATAGTGTTTATGCATCATCTTTTTTTTCATGCTTAATGGTGAGAATGAAAACTTCAACCTTTCTGTCCAGTCCAATTATTCTAGTTTAAAGGTCATATTAACTTCAACCTTTCTGTCCAGTCCTTTTATTCTAGTTTAAAGGTCATATTAACTTCAACCTTTCTGTCCAGTCCTTTTATTCTAGTTTAAAGGTCATATTAACTTCAACCTTTCTGTCCAGTCCTTTTATTCTAGTTTAAAGGACATGTTAACTTCAGCCTTTCTGAATGAGAACTAGGGGACACAAATATAAATCTTGGCAGGGTAGGAGTCATCTTTAGCTAAGACAGTTATTTTTCTTACAGGGTGGTTGGCCTTTTGAACATGTTGCCTTCATATGTTACGGAGGCAGTAAAAAAAAAATTAAGTGAGTTTAAAAGAAAGCTTGATAACTATATGAATGATAAGGACTGACTTTGAGTTATTTTTTTATTATTTAATAGTTTTAGTTTAGAGGATGGATCAGCCTAGATGGACCAATAGGTCCCTTATTGTCCCTAAACATTATATTATTATGTTATGTTATATTAAAAAAAACAACTTCATTATTTACACTGTAATTAGTTCTTTTTACACTATTAGACATAGCTACATTGGTTGAATACATTATATTAAAATGATTTTGGAGCCTCACCATGTCATCACAGTCCATACTGCCATTTCTAGTCATGCCCCATCTGACAGTCATACATCTTAGTAATAGCTCTGCAGAACACATTCCATTTCAAAATGCTCAATTGTAAGACCTTAATGTCTAAAGCACACCACTCTTCCATGCTTGCTTTCCATCTAGTGTACAGACACATTGGTTTTCCAGAGCCTCTTTCAGCAGTCTTACACAGAAATTCAAATACACTGCATTAAGTAACTTGACTGGTATGTCTTTGTAGAGAATAACGTGAACACCCATTTCATTCTCCAACTGCTTGTGATATACAACATTTGAATGATAGGTATGACTGAAAGCCTTATCTTGGTGAACCCATACCCTGTTGACCTCATTTCCAGACAAAAACCCTTCGTGTCTGTGAACTGTTACCCAAACATATGGGTGGCTTTGCCACAGACCTTTGTGCTCATGAATTCTCACCTGTTACAAAATGCTGGATGTTGCTTATTATAGTCTGGTTACAATAAATTCCGTATTGGAACACATCTTTATGATCTGAGTACATGAATTTTTTTTTTTGGAAAAGGTTGTTACATATCCTTCTAAAATCAGTTTTCTGTAGTGTCATACAATCTTTGAAATGCCATATTTTGTCATAATATCGATACATTTTGTTTCACTGTGACTTTATATTGACTGTGGTTGTCACATGACTTGCTGATTTACATATTCAAAATGCTTTAATATAGTATACTCAACCCTTTGTGTACACAGGAGGTCTAGAAAAAAATAAACAATTTTAGGTATTACTTTTCTCTTGAAGGAAAATGTCAGCATGGAGTTATTTAAATCCTCTGACTGAAGAAGTTTGCTTTTTTTGTACTAACAAGTGCTGTGGCATGCTCCTATATTTTTTATGTTAGTCTTTCCATTAAAATTTGTTATTCTTTAGATTTGTTTTCTTCTAGTTTTGTATATAACATAAGATAAAAATCATTTACTAGTTAAAAGTTTTAGTTCTGTCTCAGAATGTGATATTTTGTTGTCTTTTATGTATTAGGAAGAATCAGGATTTTTGTCTGATGAAGAAAGTAAAAATCATTTACCTTTAATAATGACACGGATCATGAATGAGTTGAATCGTTATCGACGATGTTCCATACCAATCAGTAAGTAAGAAACAAAAAATATTTTCTACAGTCATCAAAATTAATGAACATATACAAGGAAACAAATTTATCTTGCTGAAGGAAGTGTTTAATAAAAATGAAACAATATAAAAATGACTTTATTTAAAAAACTTTATTTATTACTGTTAATTTAAAAGAAATAAATAAAACCACACACCCTCTATAACAAGGTGCTATTGTACATTCATTGTACTTCTCTTCAGAGTTTAAACTGCTAAACATTTCATATTTATTTTCTGTGTTTATTTTACTGTCAACAACTGAAGTAGAAATCAGCTAAAAATAAAGCAACAAATCACCATTTGTGTCATTAGACTGTTTAAATGACACCATAATACGAAACTCTGTACAGCAACAAAACACGTGCACAAAATAAGCCAACTTGACTCCTGCTCCGAGAAAACAATGTGGAATTTATCAGCTTATCTATCCTACAGTGTTTAAATGAGAATTCCTTAGAGTAATAAGATTGCACTTTGAATCTGTGAAAAAGTTTATTACAGTATATGGTTCAGAGCCAATCCAATAAACATTACAAGTGTTTAATTATTGGTCGTCCTTCTGGGATATTTGGAATTTAGTGGTATACCATCGAGTATACTTTATCGAGTGCCCACATAAAGAACGAGACTAAAGACACTGTCATTAATCCGGAATATCGAGATGCCCATTATTGCAAGATTTATTTAAAAAATAAAAGGGACTGAAAAGGTCTGCTCGTAATGCCACAGTGCTCATTAATTGAAGTTCTACTGTATGTATATGCTTACACATACCGACATGCATGATGTAACATTTACATTAGATCAGGCCTCGACAAATATTTTCAAATCTAGGAACCAGACAAAAACCTCGGGAACCAGGTGTGCCTGACTGACTGACGTTTGGCTTTTATGATTGTGTCGACTTGGATAACTTTTCATCAAAAGTGATTAAATTACAGTAAAAAAGGTTATAATTTAAAATAAGGAACTTAAATATATTGAAAATTTTTACTTAGATTAAAAAATGGGCTAACTAGTGAGATACACTACAGCCTCGATTATCTGCTGTTTCTGTTATCCACGATTTTTTTGCTTTCCTCAGACCAGCATGGATAATCAAGGCACCAGTGTATATTTAGTTACTTTCACAGCAATGAGTGCATGCTAATAATCACGTGGTATCAACAACCAGTTGATAGTATTACCTGAATTAACTGCTATTGGTCCAGTCTGATTGGTTGAATTGATTGAAAGAAGAAAAACAAAATGACACGAAATTGGTAATGTGTTGAGCAACCACAGCACTTCATTCATGAAAAGAACATTGAGAAGTGCTGAATCTGCTATTAAAATCCTAGAAACAAAGTTTAGTTTAGGAGTCAAAAGATGCAAAAATAGTTCCGGACTTCCAAGAGTTCAGAACTGTTCTAGATTCGAGTTCTATTTACTACAGCCCTATGCACAGATAAAATGGGAGAAAATACTAAGCATCACAATGAAATTTTTTAGTTGCCATGGCAACCTGGCACCCAGGATTTGTCAAGTCCTGCAGTATATTAATAAAAAAAAAGAAAATGCCTTAACTGTTATATATACAAAGAGACACAATAATCATTAACAATTTTTTAGTTAATGTTATCAGCAATTATAAAGTAATCAGTGCTCAAAAATGAACAAATTTAAGACATTTTTAATGTCTGACTTTTGGACAACCATCAAACAGACTTTGGTTGTCCTTTCATGAGTAAAAGTTTTTCCTCCTAAGCCTATTGCGGATTTTAAGTGTTTGCTGAAACTGTCTCATAACAACAATATCGGATGAGAAAATGTACAGAGCAACTCTTAAGTTTGTTTGCAGTGCCTTCTAGCAACTTCACTATGACATCATTGACACAACATTGTGTATTAACTCGAGCCTCATGAAATAAGTTTGACCTACATCTTTGAAATGCCATAAAATGCTCATCAATATTCGATGAAAAAACAAACATTGTTACAGATGTTCTATTTTGTTTTGGCAATTTGAATAATTACCATAAACAAAGTAGCTCAGGTAAAATGGTAGGTTATGGTAGCTGGATCATTACTGGAACCTCTCAAAAATACTACACTGAAAATAATGCAATAACTTGCTAAATGTTGTGTACCGAGTATTTGGATGATATACTTCTCTACTATTGTAAGCAATACACTAACATGGGTACCTTATGCCTACTGTGCACAGTGAAAAGACTTTGTTTACATCTGAGAAAGCTTGCAAAAAAACTGCTGTTTTACTCATTTATATTTTCATGCATGTTGCATCTATTCCTCATAGAATTCTTATAGGACAGGGATTAGCACAAGAATTTTATTAGTCACCACAATAACACAAACAGATTTGCCATAGTCACAGTTAATTTGTGCCAAAATAAATTCAACTTTTTGTGCACTCAAAAAGTCCACGTATTTGTTCTATCTCAATACCAGAGATATTTCTTCTCAGCAGTCGTATCAATGTATTTCAACTGAAAAACACTGATACTTTTCACCCCTCCAATGGAATTGAATAGGGATGTTACTAGTATGGAGATTTCATCCATGGTGTGTACCTGTTTGGAGATTTCTACTCACTATTACAGATACCTTGAAAGGCAGGCTGTGAATTGAGTTTTGTAGTACAGTGTGAAGAACTACAGGTAGAGTGTTTCTTGAAGTTTCTTTGCCAGTCTGGACTTTTGGTGTGCAGCACGTACTTCAAGAATGAAAACCATTATTTGTGTGTATGTTTGGAAGTTGAATTGAGCATGCAAAGCCATTCAATACAAACATGAAAATAACACTTTGTTCATAATTCTTTCACATTACTTGCATTCTGTTGCGTTTCTCCTTTTCAATGCTGAAATGCTTGTGCAAGGCAGTATGTACAGCTTTGGAGTCTGAAATAATTGTACAGCAGCTGGTTGTCTGACAGAATATGTGGTAATGTCAGATGACATAAACTTGTTTACTCGTTTCGTGTAAGAGCATAGAGAATTGTTTAAAGAATTTTATCAAACTATATATATATATATATATATGTGTGTATGTGGTGTATATGAACAGTGAGTAAGGTGAAAAATCCACACTTGCTTAACCTTTGATAATTAAATGTTATGTATCACAGAGAAAGTTTGATCATAAGATGATAAAGTCAAAATTATGGTGTAATTTGAAGATTAGTAACTAAACACATCACCCAAGGTTTATATTTTCTTGATTAGATGAGTCTAATACAATCCATCTGAAGGTGATTAGAGTTCATCCAGACCCACCTCAGGTCATGGATCACCACGTCCCAATCTTCACCAAAAGCAGAACTGCCATTCTTCCAAGTCAGTGGGATTTAACTACGCAACAGGTAGAGTTTTAGTGCCTTAAAATAACGAAAACAATTTATAAGTTTGGAAGAATAGTAGAGAAGTTATTTTTCAGAAGCAAAGGTTGTTTTGAATAATAACAGTTGAGTGTTTTGATTAATACTTGTAATGTTAAACTGTATATATGTACTTGCAATGAAAAAAGATTATTAAATTTTCTTTTTGTAAATGTGTAACTGTGTGAGAAATTCATTCTTTTCTTCACAACCTTTGCAGCAATATATATAGGTTATTCCTGATGCCTTGGTTTTGTATTGAAGTATGTTATGTCTGTCAGAGTACTGTTTTGTATCAATTTCATATCATTATTGATATTGTAAATATTTTAGTCTCTTTTAATATCTATCTGATTTCCATTTAATTTCTTATATTTAACCAGTTTATAAATGCCCATGCAGTGGTTGTTTTTTGAAAGTTAATACATATAACCTCAGCATCTAACTCAAAATGTGTATTCTTGTTATTGCTCATATCACTTGGACTAACAGTCTTGACCTTGCCTATATGTATAAGCATACAGTCCACATTCTGCTTTAAATGCTTGTGGAATTTTTGTGAGCCGTACACTGTATACACTACACTCGCATTCAACTGCCGGAGGTGGACTGTACCCCATACGGTGAATGAGCAGTCAGTGGGTTAAGAATTCATATTTTCTATTATAGTGGAGATACCTCTTAATGAACTTATTCTCATTCAATAGTTGGTAATAGTATTTAGAATATCAAGATCTTTAGTAATTGTTTAAAGTTAATATGTTAATGAACTGTGGGTTTGAGATAGATTAATGTTATAAAAACTGTAACATTATAAGTTATTCTTAGTGGTATGTCTTGAGAAAGTAGACTGTAGAATACAGCCCTACAGAAACCCAAATAAAGTCTAGGTAATTCCTGTAAAAATGATGTTAGTGTCATTCATCCACTGGAATGTAAGTCTCATGTGATAGTAAGCTGAAACCAACATGTTATTTAAGAGGAAAAATGAATTTTTAGATACATTTCTAAATATGATTACTAGTGTCAATATTTACTTTCTTAACTCTATCAATGCTATGGTCACATGTAGTATTTTCCAGCTCATGGATTTACCACATAGTATTCGGTGCATTATAACTGGAAGATTAAGGCTACCAACCTACAGAGGATGCCTCTCCCTGAACTTGAACTGAGTTTTTCACACAAGAGAGATGAGACACAAATGTATTAGGTCATTAAGAAATTAATGTCGTTTTTTTTTAAATGAAAAACCCAAACAACTTGTATATCAAAACAAAACATTTATTAGATGAAATAGTTTTCATTCTTATCGATATATATAAAAATCAATATTGCACACAAAGCCAAATTTGATCATAGTGCCACAGCCAATTGAGCAGTCCATGTATTTGTAGTGTACCATACACCAAGGATGTGACCTCTCTTAGCTATAATTTGAATCACCAACAAGAAAAATAACTGTAATTGCATTAAAAGTTATCTTTCTCACAAGAGAACACTAATAACACACTTGATTTGACAAAAGGGAAAGTTGAGTAGCTTACTTGAGTATCTCACAGCATCCAAACTGAGAATGATGAACAATAATCTTTACACGTTGTTTACACATTTTGGCGAGTTTTTTTTTTATGGATTACACTGAAAAGGGGCCAAGCGTGGCCCACTAGATACCTTGCTGGACTGTGGGTTTGAGATTCCATAATTCACACTGATATTGCAAAAAATATTCTCCATGCTTATAGGCTGCAAGTGCATTACAAGAGTGTTGGTCAAATCCCATTGATTAGTCTAACAAGAAAAGTCCAAGAACTGACCCATGGTGGTGTTGTCTAGCTGCCTTCTTTCTAGTCTATCACTTTAAAATAGATAGGTTCCATGTACCTTTACACAAAATTCAACAAATAAAAAGATATGCTGGAAAGCTTCTTGTATGTGGGGACTGATATTCTTTCTTCCTTATAGACCTGTTTATTAAAACATTCAATTTCAAAGTTTTTACTTCATTTTTTGTCTGTTATGAAAATATGAATAAATTAATGTGTATTTTGACATAAAACAATTCTTGTACTGCTATCCCAAATGAAGCTGCAAGGGAAAAATATGGGCTGAAATAGTTTTACTATTATCTGAAGAGTAAGTTTCATTTTACTTTCTTTACTTTTACGTTTATATTGTGTAGTTTTAAAACCAGAAAAATAAAGTTTGTAGGTGAAATCCCTTCAGATCAAAGGTTGAGTTTATTTGAGATAATGTAAATGGTAGTTAACTGAAAAATTAACAGTGTTTTCTCCATCATTTTAAAGGTATTCTTCTTTATTTTTAGATAATATTAATACCTTGTATAATGAGCATTATTGTGTAGTATCTTAGTGCACTGTATTGATATGACAAAATGTATACAAACTGAGAGAATGAAACCCAATACATACTGTAACATTGTATTAGATTGTTATCCTGGGTAAATCTGTAATTAATTGTTTCTAACTAATATTAAATATGATAATACTACTATGGTTCTATGTATTTATGTTTATTGTGATGTGATTTTATCTATAAAGTTCTCAGAAGTTTTATTAACATTTGTAATTTTAAGTTTCATCTAAACCTGTTGTGAGAGGACAGTATTTTATTTGAACAAGCTCTCTAACCTCTTTAATTGTGTGGATTGTCCTTTCTCATTTCATTGAGTATTTGTTTTTATATGTAGTTGTATGTCGAGAAAAAATAAATGTATTGGTAAAAATGTGAGTGACCATCATTTTGTAAGTTGGTAAAAAAAATTCATTTCTTCAGTTCTTCTATTCTAATATTTAAGTTTGCAAGTTTATTTTAAACAAATTTGTCAAGAAACAATAAAAAAAATGATAATTGATATATATATCACTCTACCTCATCATGAGGAGGTTAAACTTGACGTATCAACTCATCTGATCATGAAGAGATTAAACAGTATTATAAACTTCATTTTCAAGTCTTTGCAAATTTGGGTTTCATTTCATTATGTATTTGATCAAAAATCTATACCTTTGTTTTTGTGGTCCATCTTCTTGTTCAGACATTGTGATTGAATGTAGTACAAGAAATCTTGCCTAATTGTTCCATTCTCTTCCTGTTCGTGAACAGTGGGACTTAACTGTAATGCAGGTAAGACAAACTTCTATGGTGCATGTACAATTCTTTCCCTGTGAGTGCTCTTGACCTATACCATTTTGAGTTTTAGTTTTGCTCTGTTTCCTCTTTCTTTCTTTCATTCTTCCTTTTTTTTTTTTGTCTCATGGGATGAACTGTGGTCTGTAGGTCTGTAAAAATGTCTTTTGCATTAACTATTCAGCTCTTATGGTTATACTATTGTGTGCCAAATTAGTTGTGTGTGTTTTTATAGTTAGCAATGCCACACCTCATTCTCATTGTTAGGAAGCCTATATGATCACTTAAGCCTAATTATTAATTGATTACTTCTTTTTTATTATTACTAGATGCTAATTAGTTTATATCCTGTGTTTTGACTGCTAGTCTACTGTATTTTTCAGGAAAGTCCTCAGAAAGACTGTGTGTAGTATCAGGGGCCCAGATTTGATCTTGGGTCTTCATTATAGAAAGGTTGGTATGCTATCCACTCATCCTGGGGTCTTCACCATTAGGAACTGAATCCACCTTACCTATTTGAATGCTTTCACAATGGATATCCAGATTTTGCTGACTTCTGTGCTAGAATGAATTTAGTGTATTTTTCAATAAGGTGGGTATAGAAGGCTTATTTTGTATCATGTGTGGTTATTATCCCATTATTTTTATATTTCATTTTCTTGTATGGTCTTTGACGTGATGGACTATTCTAGTTAAAGTGGTATTATAGAATTTTATAGGTCGTAATTTTTCTTTTTGATTATTTTTGTTTATTCAATATATTAATTGGAGTCAACATTCACTGGATGTTATAAGTGATGTTCTTTCTCTCTATTTACTTCTTAGTTGTTTCGATGAGTGCGTATTGCAGTCATATTTTGCTGTGTCTTCTAAATACTGTTCTGACATTATGTTATGCTGCTTGCATATTCTTTGTTTGTTTTCATAAAGTTTTTGTAATTATTTCCTGTTTATTCTTGATGTTTATGTTTATTTTCTTTGTCAAATATCCTGGGCATCCACTGTTAAGGAAAGTTGTAGTAGTGGTTTTTTTCCCCTTCTTAGCATATTCTTTACTACAATTATTGTTAATTCTGGACATCAGGCAGTCAGGATAGTTTGATCTTTAGTGAAGGTATTTATCATAGCTGTGAGGTTTTCTGTAAACTCCTCTGGTATGAGTTAAGTTTCTTGGTAACCACCACATCTACATTGTCGATTGTTTAGCTGAATGTTTTCTATTCAAGTGAGTCATAAATGCTGAAACCCTGTCTGTAACTTGTGGTTTATTACAAATGCATTGTTGATTTATCTCAGCCAAAGTCCTGAATCATAGAGCAGCTGGTTTGAGGGTTTTATATTCAAAATGTTCCATATAGAGATTACTAACTACTAGTTGATCGATAGGGGTGAACCTGTAACTACCCCTTGTTATTGGTAATATTTACCTGCTTATTGAAAGTGAGTTGTCTATTGATATGAAAGTTTTCAGTTCTGTTGTCACAGAAATTGTTAGTTGGATGCATTCTTTGGGAATTCTATGGTTTTAAAGCTATTGGTGGAGTATATCTATTGTTTCCAAATGTAGTACAAGGGAATAATTGACACACTGAAGCTTATAATTGTCTTTCTTGCTTTTAAAATCTCTTAAAAAAGTAGACTGAGTTCTTAACATCTATAGACATTTTACCAGTTAATGGTGATATTATATCTATAAGGTCTAATGAGGAGCAAAAATACCATTCACATCTTTGTGACCATGGATTTAAAAGCATTGGAGAGATAAAAAAGAGAGTAGCAAAAGACAGAATTTTGCAGCATAAGAGTATACAGTACTTTTTAATACCAATCTATCTACAACAGCTCATCCTGTAAAAGATCATACAATAAAATGGAATATGAACTACACATGAGACAAAGAAAACTAAAATAATACAATAAACCTAGCTAGAATAGAAGTTGGCAAAACATGGATACCTTCATTCATAAAGTTAGATGATTCAGGTTTTGATAGGGCACAGCCTGGATGAGTGGATAGCACACCAGCTTTTCTAACAAGAAGACCAAAGTTTGAATCCCAGCCTCTTCTCAGGACTTTCTGAAGATGGCAGCAGATTAGCAGCTAAAATGTAGGAGATAAAATAATTAGGAATTAATAAGCAGGCTTAGATGATGAATTATGTGCTAACTATGAGAGTGATTGATGTACAATCATCACAACCTTACCATAAGTACTTGCTGCCTTTCCTGTAAAAAAAAAATTATTGGGTCATTTTTATTTACGTAATTTTTTTTCATTTATGCTTAAATTTTTCATTGCTGTTTGCATAACATTTTAGTTATTTATAAATATTACCTGTATAGCATATACTTACTGCATATATTTATTTCTAATAATATGTATAGCTGAACCTTTGTTATTTTAAGGAAAATATGAATTGACTTAGTATCAATGTATATGGTGATGTTCAGAAAGAAACTGTTTCTTTGCCATTCATTCATATAAGTAAATTCTGGCTAACAGATGTTCATGCTAGTAAGCTAATATTCAACTAGTACTTGCATTGTCATGTTATTTGTTTCTGTGATAGATGGAGGGTCAGATGGGCCTGAGGCTAAATGTTTCTTCTGAGCCTATTATGATCACGACTAAAGACTAAGGTAAACAAAAACTAAACCTCATAATGGGCCTTTTCTGAGCCAGAACCTGGGACTATAGCCCCAATATCTCCCACCTTATTCTGCCCTTGGATAGATGGCATATAAAATAATCACATTAAAAAATTCAAGGTACATTAAATTAAAAAAAAACAATGTTGTAATCAAGTTTTTAAAGTGGGTGAAAAGGTTGTCTGTATGCTCTATACTACAAAATTGATTAAAGTTGTTTGCAATTTATGTACCTTGTCTTGATAGTAGAGATTTATATTACCCATCATCTGATGATTGTAGTTATGAAGTTTGATTTTTAGTCCTTTCAAATCCTGCATATGGGCTTCACTTGGTACCTTGTGACTTCCATCTTTGTTTTTGACCTCTTAACCTTTTGATATTTGGCACCCATCATAGCATTAAAAAATCTATAGAAAATAAAATTGTCATCATTCATCTACACATTAAAAGAACTTCAGAGATGAAATTTATTCAACAAAAGTTTTATTCATTTAATTTTATACATAATTTTTTTTTTAATCACGAAATTTGGATTTTAGGTTAATTTCAGCAGTTCAAATGAAAACATTAATGTTTGTGAATTTCTTCATTTTTTTAGCATCATTTAGCACTTGTATCCTTTTTTCAAAAAGTCAAAATAGGTTTGAACAAAACCAATGTAAATGTAATTAACCCACCACTGTTTCTTAACCTTTGTCATGGTGCAGTGTAATTGCATTTCTTTCCTTTGTTAAGCCATGGGCTAGTGATTTAAATGTTTAATAAAAACTCTCTTTCTGCCCTTTTCAACAGTATATGCCAATATCCCTTTCAGTTCAGTTGGTATTCATGTATAGATCAAAACAAAGTGATAAAAGCTTAGCATGGTAATATGCCGCTCGATTAAAGGTTTTTGTTTTTTTAAGGTTGTATCATTTTATATTTCATTGAAACTATGCTGTTTGTGAGGCTCTTTTTACATTAGGCCTTTTTGGCCTAAGTAAATGCTTAAATGGGCAAAGAAAATCACAAAGTAAATCTAAAAAAAAAATATTTTAATAAATATGATATGATATAAAAATGTTAGTTTATAACTTTGCTTTGGAAAAAACTTGTTTTTATTGTATGCCAGTGATCATAAACAAAGTGAAACTGCATGTGATATTTTTCAAATCAAAAGAGGTAAAATTTATTTAACGAAACCTTTGTATCAAACTTTAACAAGAATGTAGAAAGACATAAAAAATCAGTAATTAAAATATAGAATGGAGTATGTAATTTTGTTTCTTAAGAAAAGATATTACAATGATATATTTTTAATTTACAAAACTAAATTATTTCAAAAGTATTATCACATAAAAATAAGATATTTGAATAGAAAGTTCATCTTTGCTATTCACATGCCTGGGCATTTGAATTAAGTGTAAGTTATATAAACAGTACATTTTAATAACATTCTTAGATCAGATGTAAGTAATCAGACTTGTAACATTTCACTTTCCTTTTATCGTGCTGATATCATGAAGCTCATATTCTTAATGGGGACTGTTGAGAAGTTAGATCTGTTTGGTCAGATTTTCAACACCATTTGTTGGTTGTAGACTGATGTGTAATTCTGTTTCTTTCTGAACACCCTTTATGTAAACTGACATTTCACATATAATTTGTAAAGAAAATACTTGCTCAAAAATATGCCATATAATTAGTTTCAGCCTTAGACCCATATCAGGTGACACTTAGGTTGAAAAGAATGTTCTTAATGTTCAATAATGCATCAAGCAGGTGGTAGTATTGTCTATGTTGGAATGGCTCAGATTGTTCATAGAAATGGTATTTTAAATATTTTCTCAATAGGTCATCTGAATTTTACAATACTATACAGCTTTTTTTATAACAATATCTGAGTAATGACTGAACCACAAATTCTGGGAATGTCTGTAAATATCATAGCAAAGAAGTTTGTTGTTTTGGTTTTTGAGTTATCAAGTAATAAAAAAGAAGCAGAAGAAAGAACAAGAAATTTGGTGTCAACCAACTTCACTGAGGTGACATAGTTTCAAAAAAGTTTGAATTTCTTGTTCTTTCTTCTGCTTCTTTTTATTACCTGATAACTCAAAACCAAAACAATGGTGTCAACCAACTTCACTGAGGTGAAATAGTTTGAAAAAAGTTTGAATTTCTTGTTCTTTCTTCTGCTTCTTTTTTATTACTTGATAACTCAAAAACCAAAACAATGGTGTCAACCAACTTCACTGAGGTGACGTAGTTTCAAACAGATTATCCACTTTATAAGTATTATTAATAACTATTAGTAATTTAAAAAAAAATATAATTCTACTATAAATGATGTTATCGTTATCCCTTGAAGTTAGCTTTCTTACAGAAAATTGGTGTTCCTTTAAGAAGCTTAAGTATAGGGTGAAATGGGAATTAACAGCCAGTAATAGATAAACAATACATATTACAGTTGGAGTCTCATTGTATATAGAACTTGGTTATAAGTACAACCTTCCTATGTCTATTGAAACACTGCATTAAAAACAAAAACAAGAAAAACTTTTAAAAAAAGAAGTAAATGTAAGGATGGCTGATATCAATCCTTCAAAACCAATGCAAACAAGATAGTAGATATGGTATTTGCATCGTCTCTACATGATAGCACAGGCAAGAATTAACATATAATGATGTATATAATTATTCAATCACAGTTGAGTTTAATTTATTCTGTTTTTGTATGTTAACATTCTACTACACTGTGTGTCTGTGCTATTATCTATGGATGATGAAAATGCCATCCATACTACCTTATTTGCATTGTTTTTGAAGGATTGATATTAGCCATCCCTACATTTACTTCCTTTTTTTAAAAGTATTTTCTTTACTTGTATCACTTGATATGAGCCTAATGCTGAAACCAGTCATGTAATAAGTGTGAAGTTTTTTTGTATAACAAAGTATTTATTTACATGTGTGATATTTTTAATTTTTTTTATATGAGGAGGGGAGCTGGGAACTTCTGTATTATTTTAATTTATTAAATAGAGACTACTGCACAAAATATACTAATAAGTGTAATGTGTAAAATGTTTTGTTTTTATCTACACAAAATAATTTTATACTGTCTCTGTAGCAAGAACTTGCATATAATTAAATATTTTCATTTTGAGATTCACATATTTTACCAAGTAAAAGCTGTTTTGATGTTCAAGCACTTTGCACCTCAAACTGTGGCTAAGATATGTTATCAAGCTTATCACTTTATTGGATATGTTTTTATTAATTGGATCTTTTCTGAAGGCTTTCTTTGATATTAAAGGGGAGTTAGATGTTTTCCAATAAGAATGTTATTTTAAATTATTATTTTCACAAACAATTTGTTACAGAAAGGATCTGCATGAATAAATAAATTTTTTTAAAATTTTATACATATTTCTTTTTAATATATATTAATCTTGCATGTAGTGTGTATATACACCTCAGATGTAACATAGTTAATTCCTTAATTTGAATGGAGATATTTTGCAATGACAGCTTTGGTAATAATTCTTTTGTGAACTTGGCTTTAGAAGGTTCAAATCTGTTGAACAAAGGAATAACAAAATTATACAAAAAATCAACTTCATATCAGTTTCCCCTTACATTTTCAGATATTAGGCTATATTGATGGGTTTCGTCATGTTGCAAGAATAGCTGCTGAAGCTGATGTGGAGGTCAGCTTAGTTAAGTCATGCATACAGAACATGGTGTAAGTTATTTCATTGTATATATTTATGGTATGTATTTTTTGGTAAGGGCTAGACTTGTGTGGAATACAAATAAACAAACATAATTACCAAATATTCTAAGGAATTGTCTTTGAAACTATCCATACATAAGCAGTAAGTAATACATATGATTTTGATTCCATTATTTCAGATCACACCATTAATACTTGTGAGAAAAATGTAACTGAATTCCTTTAGTTTAAGAAATTTGATTAAAACTAATAACTTCATAGACCTCATAAAAACCCATCAATGGCACTCTAACTATAAAGCTTTAGTCATGCTTTTTACACATTGCTACCCCCCCCCTTTTTTGAAATATTGGTTAAAATACCCCTGTTTCTGCAGTTTCATTGATTTTTTTTCACATTCAAATTACCCATTTTTCATGATTTCAAGGGTTTCTTTTTACAATATAACACTAATTATAACCGTATATCGTACAATATTTATTAGTTCTATGTACAGTAGGTTAGCATGAATCTTGACATATGTAATATGTTTAAAGTAGAATTAACAAAAGATGTACTCAACAACATCAGTTTACCTGGTAATTACATACTGTATTATACAACAATTTTCTTGTTGCACTGTATGAGCTTGATCACTTGTTTCTTGAACTTAAAAAACAAGACCACCTAAACCACACTTTTTTTCTTTCAATTTGTGGTGTTTGATGGAGAAAAAGACTTTAATTTAAATTTGAGATGCACAGTTATGTTGCAAAAGACTTGTCTTACATTTAGCATAATGCATAGGCTGAGAAACACTTTTTATTTAAATTATGAAGATATGATCATTTTAATGGAGAAAGGTCCATTTTCCTATAATTTGCTTAGGTATTATGGTGTTGTGGCCCTTATTCCTATTTTCCTGTACTCCAATGTTTACACACCTACTCCAGAACTTGGACGACTAGCCACTGAACCAACATTGCAGGATGAATGTATTAAGTATGTAACTAAACAAGGTAAGTTTTGTAAAAGAGAATTAGTTAAACTAAACTATATTGATAAGGATTATATTTAGGTTCAAACCCAATTTGTAATTTAAGTGTGCTTTAATTACAAGATTTATAATGCCCATTAGTATAGTGTACAAATTCTGTTGTTTACATCTGCAAGTATAGTTTTGATTTTTTTGTGTGTGAAAGTTTACAGCCATAGGAATGAAATATTTCATCATATTTCTAATTTAATTATTATTCATTCAAGCTAAGTTAAAAATGTGAAAACTGCACCAAGATCAGTTGAATATTTTTTTTTTTTCAAAATATTTCTGATTATATATAAAAGTGAACAGCAATTGCACTCAGATTACAAGAAAGGAAGTGATGTTGGAGAATGTTGTCCCAACTCTTCTGTTTGGCCATATTAATAAATAGAAAAGAACAGAAACAAATTGTAAAAAATGTCAGGAAATATAGAGACAACATCAAGGAAATGTACACAACTATCAAGAGTAAATGGAATATGATGTGTAGCAGCTACTAGTGGGAACACCAGTGAAGTGGCGCTTTCACTGCATGCATTTCTATTTGAGAGACCGACAGTTTTAGCAAAATGGATCTTGTTGCAAAAATGAGGAGTGATTGGAAGGGTCTGACAAATATATTCTGTGCAAGGAGCATTTAAACCAGAGTGCTACCCGCTGGAATATGCATTGAAATATCCATGGGTAGTGACATAAACAAAAAAAAATTGTTTAGGAAAGCTGTCACAGTTATTCATAAGGAAGTAAAGCCAATAGATTTTACCCTTGTTGAATTAAATACCCTTGGTATCTCCCCTCTAAGAGCATTTTAAATCAGAATACTAACCATTGGTGTAGGCATTAAAAAAAAGTCCATGGGTCTTGACATTAAAAAAAATTTCTTAGGGAAGCTATTCCAACATTCACAAGAGGGTAATCCCAATAGCTCTTCACACCAAGTGGCCAACAGTTTTTACCCTTGCAAACATCCACACCCTTGGTGTCTTTCTTTTTCTTAAAAAGAAGCAGACTGAGATTTGTAAAAAGGCAAAATATGGGAGTAAGTAATCAATGAATATTTTGTGATTGCTGAGAGTTATCTTAGTGTAGTACAAACATTTACTAAACAGTGAAATCTATATATTAATTGAGAAAGTCGATGTTTAGTATAATTTTGAAAATGTAACACCAACATTGACATTTTTTTTAATACTCTGCAATATATACAATCTTTTTCAATGGAGATATGCTAAAATCATTAAATGTTAATTTTTTGTCTTATAAGAGCAGATGATAAGACAGATTCCATCTTTTTTTTTTTGAGCAACATGTAATTTTATACATATATAAAAAAAAGTTAATAGCAAGTTTCCACATAAATACCTGTAGAATGAATAAAACTATGTTACACAAACCTTGTTAAAATAATACCAATACTATCATAAGTATGTTTTGGACTTTGTGTATAATACTGTCAGTGAATTGTGAAGAAAAAAAAGAATCAGTCTTGAATCATTCTTTCACTTACAATAAAGAACTTTGTCATTTTGTACTGCCTAGTCTGGTAAAAGGCAGCATTTTATCACACATTGTTTTTACATGTAGTACTTCAGTTCTGCATTATGCAAGGTATTACACCTTTTAAGCTTGTGTAGAATTAATAAACATTGAATCAAGTGATATGTGTCATCTGAATTGTTCATACAAACTAAAAATCCACCTAATTATTGAGTATCTTGAAAACAATTTTGAACACCTGTCTTAATAGGCTTAATATTTTTTTCTAAACGTATTTAAACTACATTTTCATTATAAATTTTATATACAAAAATTTTGGATAAATTGAGGGGGATGAGGTGTATAATCAAATTTGAAATGGTATAATATTATACTGGTTACTTAGCTTTCCAGTGTTGATATATATAGGCCTATGTAAAATACATTGAAAAAAGCCTTACCATTTATTATTCTTGAATGATATTTCATTTGCCAACTGCATCTCGCTTACTGTCTGATTCGCGTTTACTAGTTTCAAACTGGTACGATTAAATTCGTCATGTACTTCTAAATATCCTTCATCATATGGCAATGATTCAGACTTAACTCTTGCATCAGTACTTTTGTTATTATTTGATAAGTATGATTGCATTTCCATGACTGATTTTAGCTCATGCAAATTGAAAAATGGTGCTGTGTTGATGCTTTGATACTCAAAAATGGCCTTGGTTGGTACACATTATGACATCACAGTTGATTCCCTCACACACATACTGGGAGTGGAGAATATTAGATTTACCAAATTTAAGTATCTGTTAATAAATTAATTTCATTCAGTATCACCAAAATTGTTTTATAGATTACACTTATAGTTCCTATAACAATTTAAATGTTTTCTCTATGTCAATATATACATGTCAGGTTTCGTGAATGAAAATATTTTGTTGTAAGAGATCATATCCTAACTAAGATAAGAAAGTCTCCAGCTCTTGTATTTCAATAGTGTTTTCCCATACTAGATATAGTTTTATGCCTCAAAATATTAGATTCCTACATGAAATTCTAATGGATTTATGATAGCCTAATTTAAGAAAAGGGTTTTATGCCTCAGGCTAACATTTATTGTGGTATCCAAAATATAAAATCATTATAAAACAGCTGTCCTGCATTTAGTGTTAACTGTAATTTGAATTACAGTAAATCTAATACTGAGCAGAACAACATTGTGCAAGTGTTGTAATTACTGCATAGTGCAAGTCATCTTGTCATATTAAATCAAATCGTCCTAAAATATATTTGTACCAGATATTTAACTGTATTGTTTAAATATTTCCATGTTACTATAGGTTTGAAGCTCTAGATTGGAATGCATAAACCAATGTTAGTGTACTGACAAAATGTGTTCACTGTATGTACACTGAAACATTAAGAAAAATAATGCATTACTGTTTTTCCAGAGCGTTATCTACCAGACTTTAGGTCAGTTTTCATGCTTTACTGTGGGCTAAGTCCAGGAATAACTGTACGTGACCTCTGTACCCGGCATAACCCTCACTCACTGGGAATAGATGAACGGTGAGGTGATAAAATAAACTTTTTTATTTTAGTAATGTATTGAACAGGGAAATTTTAGTTTTCACTGTAATTAGTTTACATGAGTATTATTTTTAGGATTTTTAAATTAAGAATTTTTAAGTCTTTTCCTTTGAATTGTGACAGAAAATGTATCAAATAAGCACTAAATAAAACCATGCTAAAATAGTTACAGTTTCAAATATTGTTTTAGATTGATATGTCATATTATTTTGTTATTCAAACAAGCATTTATTAGTATGTTAACCAAATAGTAAAAACTGTTGAACTTATGAATAGAACTGGGTGATTAATGGAATTGACTAATTAATTAACCATCAGGCTCATGTTACATTAAAGTTTGAACTAATTGATTATTCTCACATGAGACTAATCTTCATATTTTCAATTTCTTGTTGTTTTTAAGACATTTTTGAACTACTCTTTATTTAATATGATAAATTGCAAGGTACAATGATATAGGATTAAGTTACTTTATCAATCCTAAATAGTTTTAGATGAAATTGTATCATATATACAATGTAGCGTGCAATCTGTCACTAGCTTAAAATATGACTAATAGCATTTCTAAAAATTTCCATAAGACTACTAGAACTACTGAATTGTTGTTGATTACTTCATAACATTTTTAAACAACTTTTTATATAGTTATTACATTATTACTTCCAAAAAAACCTCACAAATAAAATAATTTAAAAACTACTAGTTTCAGACATAGGCCTACGTCAGTTATCAAGTGAATTAAATTTGTCTTTCATTGTTGCAACTATGACTCTCTTAAGGTAGCCAAATGCCACGTCATCTAATTAGTGAC